TATTATGAAAAGGATAAAACAAATATGAAGTCATGGATGATATCAAAAGAGGAAGTTAATGTTCCGCAGCCACTGATTCATTACCTTTCACATAATACCTCTTGTGTTGCTGGTGTGATTGATGAATTTCAAATGAAGCAACGTTATAGAGGAGTATCTGGTCAGGTAAAAATTAATATCTCATCATTACAACAAGTTGTTGAAAAAGATTCAACTGTATTCATGTGCTAATTAACTTTTAACATTCTGTTGCATGGGATGCAGTTTGGTCAGAACTTTGTTCTTGATTTTTCATCTCTCAAGTGGATTCATCATGATCATAGGATGATCTTAGCCAGTGAAATACGAAATTTAGTTGTAACGAACGGTAAAAGTCGCCGTCCGTTCCACTTGCATTTTTGCAGTTATTTGGAAAACGAATCTATGTTACCTTTGATTAAATATCTAGAAAAGGGCCTACTTAACTCTGCTGTAACACTAACAGCAGACAGCTACTTAAATAAGTTTTTGAGGTATTTACTTGTGTTTCTATTCCTATTGTGTGTTGTTCCGAATCTGGGTTGAACTTTGAATTATTTCCAGGAAAGACATAGTTTATTTGACACCTCATTCTGTCAATAAAATTAAATACAATCCTGAAGATATTTATGTAATTAGTCCATACCATGAGCGTAGGTATCATGTTCCCCGGCGCGATCGTGGCATCAGAACAGCCACATTACCCTACGATTTTAAGTGGCGGCAGGGAAATACCTGGCTGTCACTCCCAGAGGTAGGTTTCATCCTGAGTAAGTTGAGTTTCCTCAAACTCTTTTTCTGTTGGTAAAATTTATGAACTGTTTCATTCCGCAGATCCATCAACTTCTCACCTCGTGGAAAGAGCTTAAGGGTCAAAGGGAACAAAAAATAAAATTTAAGACAAAAAAGTAAAAACAACTTCGTTATTGTTATTTTTAAAAAATTGAACGCAATTTGGGCTCGCATACTGAACAGAACACACCATTGAGAACACTTCATCTAACTCTGGTCTTCCCCCGGACCGGAGCGTGTCCATAAAGGCGCGCTTCATGGTGGCCGGCCCACCGTTGGCCCACCTCCACCTCCACCACCTCCTCCGGCCGCGCTGGCTGCTGGACCCTCGGGAGCAGGACAGGAGACACGCAGTGGCTATTTTAAAATCGTCACACTTGGCCGCGGTGTGCAGCGAGGGCGGGCGGGTGACTTGAATGTGTTTGCGGAGCGAGGCCACCTCGGTGGGAAGTGAAGCGTCGCCCCGGCCGGGCGCCTGCCTGTGCTCGGAAATGGAATGACCACAATACGACTAACTGCCCTGCCTCTGCAGTAGTTTTTAAGTCGCGGCGACGAGGTGGTGGCGCGGTGGCGGGCGGGGGACGCCGGCTGAGCCGTGGGATGCAGCTCACAGCAGTGACCCTGGCTTGACGGCTTGGCCTGGCCCGCTGCACCTGACGTGAGCGAATGTGTGAGCCACGTGGTTTTTTGTTGCGAGCTTCCCCGAAGACCCTCCGTCCCCTGCCCCGCTCGAAAACGGCGATAGATTACCACGTTCCGTGCAGCATGACCGCTATGTGGTCACGCTCCCAGGTTAAATCATAGGGACCAAAAATGAGCCGTGCGGAACGTCTTGAGGCTCACGGGTGCGTTTGATTCGTTTTCCGCGTATTAAAAGTCGTCGTTATATTTTGTTATTTTGGGAACAGCTTTTTCCCGCTGACCGTCGAGGATAGTTCGGTCGACTGCAGGATTTATTATACGTGTTCGGTGCACTTCTCCGTGCATGGGCTGCAACGCGTGCGATCCGGCGTGCGTAGGAGGCGGGAGGCAGCGTCATGTCTCTCTCGCTCGACCGCTCCACCCCCGCGCGATAAAACGAGTCCCGCCCCGCCGCCGACCGTCTCATCGATATGTCCAGCAGCGGCCGCGCCGTGGGTGTGACTCGTGTGACCGGCACAGCCTGAGCGGGACGGCCAGGGCACAGCGCGCGCCGCCCCACCCTCAGGAATCCGTGATTCACTAACGGGAAGTCTCCCCCGTCCCCTCCGGACCTCTGCACAGAAATATGCCGGGGTCCCGACTCGCAAGAAGATACCTACTTGGGCATATTACGTTCGTTACACACGTCTATGGGCATGCACAGCTCACGTACAACGTACACCCTTGCGTGCGCAAATTTTTGTATTAGTGACGCTAGAGTTTAGTTTGTACATCCGTTAAAAATTTCACGTAAGCTATGCATGCGTATAGACCAACGTACGTTATTGAAAATTATAATAGTTCACAAAATATATTTCTTGTGTATGAAACGGCTAGTAGAAGTTGTGCCTGCTGTGTTTAAGCACAGTCGTCCAATGATGAAACAGGGGGGAATTTTTTGGCGTCGTGTCGTGTCTTGTGTCCCCAAGCGCGAACCAGAGTGGAAACCCCGACGACAACGGCAGTACCATAAAGACAAGAGTATTTGAGTATTTGGGAACCCGGCCTGAACCCGGCGCCGTCGTGACAGGCGGGACAGTCCGGGCGGCCCGCCGGCAGTCACTCACGGATTGGCGACGGGACGTAACTTACGGCGCGCGCGACAGATGCGCGGACCGGCCGGACGCTCCCGGTGACTCTGCGGGGGGGATCAGGGGAATCCTATCATCCGGCTCCTTCCTCCGTGCGGACCCGGACCCGCGCTCGGTGACCCTAGGTCAGGCAGGGGCGCCGTAAGTCGCGCGCGTCGGCGTGGGAGTTACGCTCCTGTGACCTAGCGGCTGATGAATGTCTCCGTGGCGCCGGGGCGGGGCAGGCCGCCAGCTCAGAGGATTGCCACTTCTTTTGGTTCACAAAAGCAGTGGAAACTGGAAGGTGGGGACAAACACTTCGAATACGCACGCCTCCGAGATGCTTCTCGAATAGCTAGCTCTGTTTAAAACATGGAAACGCTATGAGTCGCCTTCTCATACCGCAGCGCCGAAAATTGGACATTGCGACAGTATCGACAAGGCAAAATCTTCCGCCACCCGTAGCCACTCCGTAGCGCCTGAGAACCGACGAGTAGGCAATCCCGTTGGGCTGGCGTGCCGGGCGGGATGGCCTATCGACAGGCGCTCTGCGGCAGACCGGGCGCCAGGTAGGCAAGCCCGTTGGGCCGGCGTGCCGGGCGGTATTGCCTATCGACAGGCGCTTTGCGGCAGACCGGGCG